GTGTTCGTGGGTCTACGGACATGGTTTGGATACATTAGCCATACGTACAAGTGTGACGCAGATGGTGTAGAACCTTTTAGGTAGGGGTACGGTGATGATGCACCGGGACCCCCTTTGTTGAGTGCAGCAGCCGCGCTGCCACTCTCTCTTTCTCCTCCTGCTTTCCGAGCACGACAGCGTCCTGGGTACGGGCGTTGTCTCACCGTCTGAAGTTAATACACTACACAAACAAGTCCCGATAAGTACGCGGAGTACGGCCGACAAACAGAACACACACATGGTGACCTGGTCAATCGATTCGTTACACCGTCTCAGCCGTATCATCGCCACATGCGAGCTGGCTCAGGGGCGATGGCCGCTGCTCGGTGGATCGACTCCGGCGCAGAAGAGAGCCGTGGAACATTGTAGACCATGGATCAACCATCATCGACGTTTAGACTAGTTTATATGCATGTAGGCCAGCTGCAGCAGGGTGATAGCCGGACGAAAGTCCCCACAGAAGAAAGAGATGCGGTGCGATGGCACCCGCAGTAGTAGCGGTGATATGGGTTCCGTAGTAACACCCACGTCGCTCCGCGCGGGCTCAAAAAACAACTTGGTACGCGTGTTCGATTCTCTTGACTGATTGATGCCAACGGGCAAGGCTCCTGACCGTCGTCATCTACAACAACAGACCACAGACGAGTTGCAAACTATTTGCCATTCCCAGGTGCAGCGCGGAAACGTCCCGCCGACAAGCCACACAGAACGTCAACAGTGTGTCAGCTGAAGAGTTGATCAGTAGCCGACGTATGTCCACCACCCATTTACTCTGAGCTCGGGTTTCCAGGCACAGAGGCAAAGAAGGCGTCTACTACTGTAGACTATCTTGGTAACTAGAACCTGCGTCAACGCAAGCGTCCAAGCAATTTGCTGGAATCAGTGAGTTTCGAAGGTTTGACGGCTGGCTGTGCGTGGGAGTGTGGGCCTTCAGCTTGTCTCTGCTCTGTCTCTGTCTTGTGTCTGTGTCTCTGGTCTGTGTTTGTCTTTTGTCAGCTTTTGTGATGTGGGGGCCCCGGAGAATACATCGCCCACATTGCTCATTGTATGTACCTTGTGAACCCATCCTTCCAGCGGCGCCACCTGGCATCGCTCCGCGAAGCACACAGCAGACAGCCAGCGTTGGCAGCAGGGAACTCAACTGCTGGTACATCAACCACGCACGATGGTGAAGGTGCTAGTGGCAGGCGATGTGAAAGGGAGTGTGGCGCAGCTGCTGGCGAAAGTCGCTCAGTATAACAAGTGAGATTGACAGCGATGATGTTTTCTCCCGATTATCAACGCCGCCGTTGCCTCCAACCACCAGCTCGGTGAGATTGCGAGATGCAGTAGAGATAACAGTAGCAGTATCCAAATGCGAAAGCTGCATGGTCTTGCTCTGTAGCTAAATACACGGGGTGGGTCGCGACGACGAAACGCTTTATGCGCACACGCATAAAGCAGTATCTTGATCATGTCGCTGTCGCCCCCGGCTCAACAGCTGCGGCGGAATTACGGCGGGGGGTATGTAGCAGGATTCGCGCATTGGAATCACTCACCAACCCCCGTAGTCAACATTGACCCTGGGTCAAAATGCACTCAAGCACGACATACGTGACATGATATGGTGAACGTATTGGCTCCTTGATCTGTGCCTTGAGTTGGACACACGTTTTCCAATGTCTATCGAAACTTTGTCTCCGGTTCCCAAACTACATTCAGTCCACCCCCTCTCCCCGCCTCCCTCTCCCTAACGAACCCTGTGCCACCGCCCTCCCTCATACCCATAACTACATGCCATCATTTCGTCAGACTTGTTTGGTAAGTGACCCCTGTCCAGCTTGCTTTGTCCGACCTTGCCAAACACATGCAACAACCACTGAAAAGTGCTGGGGGGGTCGAAAAGAGAGATGGGAGAGAAATAAATGATGGTACGGTACAGCCATTGACCACCGGGGTCGGTAAGCTTTCATCCCCCCTTCCAATCCATCTCCGGAACACACCACCTTCAAAATGCATACAAACCATATGGACACACGGAAAGATTCAAGGGGGTGCACAAAATGCACGGCAGGACCCCTCATGCTCCAAACGTGAGACTGCTGTTTCGATGTCATGTACAGACAGTTTTGAAACCCAACTCCAGCACAATGAAAATATGACAGGAGATTAAACCACGGTGGAGGGGGGGGGGGGGGGGGGGGG